ACACACTCACCTAGTCACACACACTCACCTAGTCACACACTCACCTATTCACCCACACTCACCTAGTCACACACTCACCTAGTCACCCACACTCACCTATTCACACACACTCACCTATTCACGCACACTCACCTAGTCACACACTCACCTAGTCACCCACACTCACCTAGTCACCCACACTCACCTAGTCACACATTCACCTAGTCACCCACACTCACCTATTCACACACACTCACCTATTCACGCACACTCACCTAGTCACACACTCACTTATTCACCCACACTCACCTAGTCACACACTCACCTATTCACCCACACTCACCTAGTCACACACTCACCTAGTCACCCACACTCACCTATTCACACACACTCACCTATTCACGCACACTCACCTAGTCACACACTCACTTATTCACCCACACTCACCTAGTCACACACTCACCTAGTCACCCACACTCACCTATTCACACCTTCTGAGTATTGGAAGACCTGCTCTACCTCTGAGCCACAACAACCCTCACTTCACAGCAACAGGAGCTGAGGATCCTGGGTAATGTAGTATTCAGCAGCACAGGATCATCCAAGACCTGAATCTGTTTTAATAAGTCCCCCTCCTCCAGAGGTCCAACACTGTCAGTATCCCAGCTAATGACATCCTGGCCGTGTCGTAAAAATGAGCCTGTTGCTGTTTCACTCACATTTTTAACACGTCACTGTCACAGAAAGAAGTTCCTCATGCTTCAATATGCTTATATATAATGACACTATATTTAATGACTGTATATATATTATGACTGTATATACAATGACAGTATATATAATAACTGTATGTATAATGACAGTATATATAATGACAGTATATATAATGACTGTGTATATAATGACTGTATATATAATAACTGCATATATATTGACAGTATATATAATAACTGTACGGCGCCTTTCTAGTCTTCCGACCACTCAAAGTGCTTTAACACTACGTCCCACATTCGCCCTTTCACAGAGTGCTGGCAAACTCCATCGAACAGCAACTAACTCATTCATACACATTCACACAACGATGCACTGCATTGGGAGCAATTTGGGGTTCAGTATCTTGCTCAAGGATACTTTGACCTTCCGATTAGGGGAGGACCCACTCTGGCTCTGAGCTACAGCTGCCCAAATGGGTAATGAGAGTATATATAGTGAGTGTATATATAATGACAATATCAATAAAAACTGTATATATTCAATTCAATTCAATTTTATTTGTATAGCGCCAATTCATAATAATATGAAATAATTTGAATAATAATAAGTTATCTCAGGACACTTTTCAAATAGAGCAGGTCTAGACCGAACTCTTTATAACATTAATTACAGAGACCCAACAGTACCACCATGAGCAAGACCTTGGAGACAAGGGCAAGGAAAAACTGCCTGTTAAAAGGCAGAAACCTAGGACAGATCCTCCGGCTCTAGGTGGGTGGTCGTCTGTCTCGACCAGTTGGGGTGAGAGAGAGAGAGAGAGAGAGAGAGAGAGAGAGAGAGAGAGAGAGAGAGAGGCAGAGAGAGAGAGAGCGAGAGAGAGAGGCAGAGAGAGAGAGAGCGAGAGACAGACAGACAGACAGGTGCACAGCAACAACAGTATTGGCAATGGCAGTCAAGCAGGACCATGGCAGGAGGCTCCACCAGGATCCATGAGAACCTGCGAGACGAGAAAGCACAAGAACTCCGGGGAAGAAGTGAAGTTAGTAACATGCATTAATGGAACATGAATGAGTGCATAAAGAGAGAGGAAGGGAGGAGCTCAGTGCACCATGGGAAATCCCCCGATAGTCTAGGCCTATAGCAGCATAACTAAGGGATGGTTCAGGACTCACCTGATCCAGCCCTAACTATAAGCTTTATCAAAGAGGAATGTCTTAAGCCTACTCTTGAATGTGGAGAGGGTGTCTGCCTCCCGAACCACAACTGGAAGCTGGTTCCACAGGAGAGGAGCTTGGTAACTGAAGGCTCTGGCTCCTGTTCTACTTTTAGAGACTATAGGAACAACAAGTAGCCCAGCATTCAGAGAACGTAGTGTTCTAGTGGGGTAATAGGGTACTATGAGCTCTTTAAGATATGAAGGGGCCTGACCATGAAGAGCTTTATAGGTGAGGAGGAGGATTTTAAATTCAATTCTACATTTTACAGGGAGCCAATGCAGAGAAGCTAGTACAGGAGAGATTCAATTCAATTCAATTCAATTTATTTGTATAGCGCCAATTCATAACAGAAGTTATCTCAGGACACTTTTCAAATAGAGCAGGTCTAGACCGAACTCTTTAACATTAATTACAGAGACCCAACAGTACCACCATGAGCAAGCACTTGGCGACAAGGGCAAGGAAAAACTGCCTGTTAAAAGGCAGAAACCTAGGACAGATCCTCCGGCTCTAGGTGGGTGGTCGTCTGTCTCGACCAGTTGGGGTGAGAGAGAGAGAGAGAGAGAGAGATAGACAGACAGACAGGTGCACAGCAACAACAGTATTGGCAATGGCAGTCAAGCAGGACCATGGCAGGAGGCTCCACCAGGATCCATGAGAACCTGCGAGACGAGAAAGCACAAGAACTCCGGGGAAGAAGTGGAGTTAGTAACATGCATTAAAGGGACATGAATGAGTGCAGAAAGAGAGAGGAAGAGAGTAGCTCAGTGCACCATGGGAAATCCCCCGATAGTCTAGGCCTATAGCAGCATAACTAAGGGATGGTTCAGGACTCACCTGATCCAGCCCTAAGTATAAGCTTTATCAAAGAGGAATGTCTTAAGCCTACTCTTGAATGTGGTGAGGGTGTCTGCCTCCCGAACCACAACTGGAAGCTGGTTCCACAGGAGAGGAGCTTGGTAACTGAAGGCTCTGGCTCCTGTTCTACTTTTAGAGACTATAGGAACCACAGATGATGAGATGTGATCTCTTTTTCTAGTTCCTGTCAGTACTCGTGCTGCAGCGTTCTGAATTAATTGGAGCATTTTAATGGACTTATTGGGGCAACCTGATAATAAAGAGTTGCAGTAATCCAGCCTTGAAGTAACAAATGCATGGATTAGTTTTTCTGCATCTGTCTGTGATAGGATGTGTCTAATTTTTCTAATATTACGTAAATGAAAGAAGGCGGTCCTAGAGGTCTGCTTTATGTGGGAGTTAAATGACAAATCCTGATCAAAGATAACTCCAAGATTCCTGACAGTGGTGCTAGAGGCCAAGTTAATGCCATCTAGAGTGACTATATCTTTAGACAATGAGTCTCTAAGGTTTTGGGGCCAAGAACAAGAATTTCGTTTTTTTTTAGTTTAACATCAGAAAATTGCAGGTCATCCAGGATTTTATGTCCGTAAGACATGTTTGTAATTTAGATAATTGATTAATTTCATTGGGTTTGATTGATAGATATAACTGCGTATCATCTGCATAACAGTGAAAGTTAATGGAGTGATTCCTAATAATGTTGCCTAAAGGGAGCATATATAAAGTAAATAGTATTGGTCCAAGTACAGAACCTTGTGGAACTCCATGACTAACTGTAGTATTTATTGAAGATTCATTGTTAACATGTACAAACTGTGAGCGATCTGATAAATATGACTTAAACCAGCTTAGTGCGGTTCCTTTAATGCCAATTTGATGCTCAATATATATAATAACTGTATATATATAATGACTACATATAGTGAGTGTATATATAATAACTGTATATATAATGACAGTATATATAGTGAGTGTATATATAATAACTGTATATATAATGACAGTATATATAGTGAGTGTATATATAATAACAGTATCTATAATAACTGTATATATAATGACTGTTTATATAATGACAGTATATATAGTGAGTGTATATATAATAACTGTATCTATAATAACTGTATAAATAATGACTGTATATATAATGACAGTATATATAGTGAGTGTATATATAATGACAGTATCTATAATAACTGTATATATAATGACTGTTTATATAATGACAGTATATATAGTGAGTGTATATATAATAACTGTATAATAACTGTATAAATAATGACTGTATATATAATGACAGTATATATAGTGAGTGTATATATAATAACAGTGTCTATAATAACTGTATATATAATGACAGCGTATATGATGGACAATTGAATTATGAGCTCAGTAAACAGTTTCCTGATGAGTTTATGGTCTCAGTGGCTAGTTTCATATCTTCTTCAATACATCATTATATTAATTTAGTAAATTATGGTCTAATTTAATTTAAAATATACGATAAAGCCACATATGCTTTTGGGTGGGGTTACCTTGGTTGGGTTCACACTTGGTTTATTCATCACATAACATAACATAAGTTATCTCAGGACACTTTTCAGAGAGAGCAGGTCTAGGTCCAGGTGCCTGGTGCAACTATACCCTTTGACAAATAAAGACAGGTCCCATTCTCTACTGGTCTGGATTTTATAGAAGATCTTTGAAAGCCCAGATTTTTGGTAAGGTGAGGTGAAACTTGCAACGTCTTACAATCACTCATCATAGCAAAGACTGATGAATGAGGACAGTGATATTCATGCTTATATGGG